ACACACCAGGTACCCTGCAGCCAGCCTGCATCTTCAGCATCACTCTCCCACGGAAGGTAAGCATTGCTCTCCCCCAGAAATAACTCCTCTCAAGGATGCTTGTGGGGCATCCCTGTTCCTCCCTGATGGGGTTATTTGGGGCCCTCAAAGCCACCCCTGGAACTCTGTGAGGAGAGGTCTGTCAGCCTACAGTGAAGACCCTCATCTAGGGCTGTGGTTGGAATCTGGGTGCTGGCAGCAACTTTGGTAACTTCACCATTTTCTTAGACAGACATTAGAGTGTCATGTGCAGGTGTTCTGCCATACAATAAACAGGTAACACTTCTTTCTCTGTTCTGGCTGCAATAAAATGATCTACTTTTTTTTTTCTGTTTTTTGCTTCATTTGCCCCATGAGGCCTTTTTGTTCCAAAACGTTTACAAGGTAACATTCTTTACTTGACTAACATTTACTAATACATAAACTAACATATATTTACTTCATTTCCTAAGTTGGCAGAAGCTGTGAAAGGGAGTGAATGTTTTGCATTTTAGTGTGACATCTCTGTCTTTTACTTCAAGATCCTCAGTTAAAGGATGCTGCTACACCGTGCCACATACCGTGCAACTGCAGTAAATGATACTCCAGATCGTTAGAACTGAAAACAGTCCTCCTGATGCAGATCCAGATATTCACCTAATACAAGCATAAGTAGCTTTTTTCGCTCCCTAGGCACCTATCAAGTACCAAATGAAATGCCTGTGGTTAGATCCTAACAATAAAGGGTTCAGCTGGGACTTTTCCACTGGTGCTGAAAATCACTCAAATACTAACTGTGATCTCTTCTTAGTAAGAGCACATTATGCCCATCCAGCAAGCATGTCATCTATGCCCTCTGACAGTTTTCAGGAAACTGGAAGAAGAAATACTTTTCTAATTAAACCTGAATTTATGCAAACCAGAGCTCAATAGGAGAGTTCAAATCACTAGTTTTGATATTTGAAGTCTCTGTTTCAGTAGTGCTCCAAGATATTCAAGGTCAATGTACTTCTGTTCCAAGTGCAATCAAAGTATTCCCAAAATGCAAATTTAGCTTTCAGAGTAAGAGATGCTTTACAGTCCTCATCACAGCTACATGCAAAAATGTATGAAGTCTAAATTTTATTCCGACACAGAAAAGCTATCTAAAACATGAACACTGGAAAAGAAAGGTTTTCTGGACAACAGCTTCACATAAATAGCCTGAAAGCAGCTCTGAAGCTAATGGAATGCAAAAATCAGCTCACCCAGTAACTTAATCCTTGGAAAGCATTAAAAAGAACTATATTTAATGATGCTATTGTTCAGTTGGAATAATTTGTGTTTAATTTCTCAGGGAAATTCAAACCTTTTATTCCAAGCAGTGATATTATTTTCTTTTTATATTTTTATCAATGGTTCAATTGCCCCTTAATCAAAAGACAATGCAAGAGGGAATATTTCTCATTCAGCAGAGCATCTTGACTAATTTTATGGTCCCATATGTGATCACGCTGAACAGAAGTTCATACAAAGCCCAATTTACAGCATATCCATAACTAGATAACTAAAAATAGAATATGTAAAATTCAGTCTTAGTGACATAACACTTATATGCCCTTTGGGTTTGAGATGATATTCACAATTTGATTAAATACGCTCTAAGAATGAGTGCACAAGTATGCATTCAGCATTAGCAGCTAGAAAAATAATTCCATGTAGTTCACCCTGAAAACAACTCCCTTACGTATATTTTTTTTACTCTATTTATTTAAGATTTAAAAAGAATGAGGGCTATTGAACAATACCTTTTATCTTAAAATTTAGCTTGTCTGTTATAAACAATGAATAAAAATAGCTCCTCTGATACCAGAGTTGTTATTCTCATGGGGTCCATACCACAAGGCTTGATCTTATGATGCAGTTATAATAGCTAAAAAATCCCCATTAATTTTACACAGATAAATTCAAGTAGCTATCTCATATGCACCCAGCACAAAGATGACTTCCAGAGGATTTAATCCATTTATTGATCGTGCAAAGAATTATCCCAAATCTAAATCAAAGCTAAGAAATGGTGAAATGTTGACTCTTTTTAATAGACTAATAAATAACTAATTTTTTGATGCCAAAGCGAAATTTTAGAACTACTATTGACCTGAAATTTTTCAGCCAAATGAAATGACTACTGTAAGAGAAAGAACATTAAGCTGTCTGATACAGATGCATCCCTCTGGAAAGTTTGATGCCTTCCCATGCCTTACAGAAACCTAAATCCATTCCAAGACTCAGAGAGGGCAAGCTGGTTATGGAAGTTGAACAGAAACGCTTTGTTACTGTGTTTGATCTCAAGCATTCAAAATAAACAGCAAAATATAAACCAAATGAAGCACAGCTGACACTGAGTCTTGCTCTGCAAGTCACCCCTGACTTAACTACCAACCACTCTGCCAGCCTGTGCCTTGTTGTTTCTTAGATATGGGGAGAATTCTGCCAACACTGGTATCATTCTCCCAAACTCCACAGTGACAGCTAGGACTGATGCTGGTGACTAGCATTACCACTGTAGCAGTTATACAAACACAAATTTATACAGCTACCTACTATCCTTCATCCCAATTTGTCTCTATTAGATTGTCTTAAACCCAGACTGCATGTTGAGGATGTTTTATTCTCTTTCTCTTTCTACAGAAGGAAGTACCTAAGCTTACTTAAGATGTAACAATATTAAAATAACGAAGATCTATGTTCCTCTCCCCAACAATCAAATGTTACACTGATTTGTGAAAGCATGATTCATTCAGCAATAGTAAAATATTCTTGATAATTTACAAATCACAGAGTGGTTTGGGTTGGAAGGGACCTTAAAGCCCATCCAGTCCCACCCCCTGCCCTGGGCAGGGACACCTTCCACCAGCCCAGGCTGCCCAAAGCCCCGTCCAACCTGGCCTTGAACCCTTCCAGGGAGGGGGCAGCCACAGCTGCTCTGGGCAACCTGTGCCAGGGCCTGACCACCCTCACAGGGAAGAATTTCTTACTTTAATCTAAATCTCCCCTCTTTCAGTTTAAAACCCTTACCCCTCATCCTATCCCTACACTCCCTGACAGAGTCCCTCCCCACCTTTCCTGTAGCCCTTTCAAGCACTGGGAGGCCGCTCTAAGGTCTCCCCGGAGCCTTCTCTTCTCCAGCTGAATCGCCCAACTCTCTCAGCCTGTCCTCACAGGGGGGTGCTCCAGACCCCCAAGCATCTTCATGGCCCTCCAGGACCCACTCAAGCAGGTCTATGTCCTGATGATGGGGGCCCCACAGCTGGGCACAGCTGCAGGGGGGGTCTCACAAGAGCAGAGCAGAGGGGGAGGATCCCCTCCCTCACCTTTCTGGCCACACTTCTCTTGATGCAGCCCAGGACACGGTTGGCTTTCTGGGCTGAAAGTGCACATTGCTGGCTCAGGGTCAGTTTTCCATTCACTAAGCCCCAAGTCCTTCTCCACAGGGCTGCTCTCAATCCATTCATCAGCCAGCCTGTTTTTGTGCATCCGATTGCCTCAGCCCATGTGCAGGACCTTGCACTTAGTCTTGTTTAATTTCATGATGTTTGCAAACTAGATTACAAAAGCCACTGCCATAAAATATCCACAGTGAGGTGTGACACAGCATTTACAATGAAGGACCTGAGAATGGAGGGCCCATCTTTCATTTCAGCTACCCTGGCTGATTTTGACCTGGACAGACCATAGGAAAAGACTAGAATAAAGTCCAAGATTCACAACTGGTGCTGCTAGTTGGATGCTCACAGCTGAAGCTGGTGCGTAGTTGAGTAAGCTCTGAACTCACAGGGTATCTGAACTCAAAGTCAGAAAGGCTAGCTCCAGCCTCAGCTGACCAGAGCTATTTGTCTCTACAGTGCAACAGAATAGGTACACACATTGCTGGCTGAATGCAGCTGGAAGGTGGCAACTAACAGTATCTTTCTGAGCTGATGAAACATTTTTGTAAATCCCTGCCTGCTCTTGATGTAGGAAGCCACTCAAGCTGCCTCCGGGGCTGGTTCTCCCCACATTCCCCTTTCCAGAGAGCTTTTGGTGAGATCACAAGAGCGAGTGCATCACAGCACAAATGACTGAAGCATGCTTAAGCTGTGGCTTGACTTCAGACACTAACCCTGGCTAAGCAATTCTCAGGAGCATTCATTTCAAAAACACCTTCCCATAGTATCCATATATTTACATAGCAAGAATGAAATTAAATAGATGCTCCAGCACTCAGCAGTATTTCACCAATTGTTTTCTGTGACTGTGTTTTAAAAGACTACTTTTAAAATTAACATGAAGTGCATGCAAGACTATATTATGCAGCTCAGCACAGAGCTATAAAAAACACAGTACATAAATACATAAACTAAAAAAAGTGTATTTGTTCTGCAATATTAAGATTAAGCTTGACCTTTCAAAGAACAAATCTATTGGAATTGCAAAAGTTTCTGGCCTCACAATTAGCTCTGTACATAAGAATCTAATGCCACAAGCAAACAGGGTATTTCCATTTTGCCCTCCTTTACAGACTGAATAAAATACTGATGAATGTAATTCACTTAAAGCCAGAATGAATAAAGATCATTAACCTCACTGATTTAACCAATCCAATTTGTCTTATTTGAGAACTGATTGAAAGTTCTTAAGACACACACAAAAAGATTTTATGAAGTCTCAGTGAAAACTAGTTGTGTTAGCAAATCTACCTGCACCAAAACTGGAACATCCCAATCTAACAATAGCAGAAATTCTTTAAATGTAGCACGGTCTTGTACTTATAAGCACATCCCTATTCTTAAAAGAAAAACATAAAACATACAGTTTGTACAGCACCTGTTCTCATTTTGATGACCTCAACAGTATTTAATGCTTCATAATCAACAACAGGGTGTTAAAGAATTAACATTGCTTTAAAAAATTACAACTTCTCCTGCTATGTTTCATTTTATTGACAGAAAAAGCCTACTTACCAGAATTTTTGTAGTGTAAGCACTGTTGATAGCAATTGCATTAACCAGCAAATCAAGGGTTTTGGCAGGTACAGAATCTGGGTCAGGGATCTCTTTGTAGTGGACATCACCAACATAGGCTTGGACAACCGTCATCCGGTTGGTTGTTAATGTCCCTGTTTTGTCAGAGCAGATGGCTGTAGCATTACCCATAGTTTCACAAGCATCTAAGTGGCGGACCAGATTGTTATCCTTCATCATTTTCTGAGAAAAAGCAAAATAAAAAGCTTAAAGATTTGCTTTGACAGATTTTTAACAACAGTTATAAAAAGCAAAAAAGTATGTATGTACTCTTGTTGATGAGAACAGTATGCTCACTAAACTAGACCTTTGATCGGGGCCAATAACCCAAGAGCTAGTTACAGACAACCAAGCAGTGACTATCCCTGAAAAAATGTTGTCTTTGATAAGCCAACATAGTTCCATCATTTTTTGCAGGATATATACATTTTAAGGAATAGCTAGAACAGTAAAGATTAGCTAAAGAAAGTGAAGATAAGAGGATGTTTTTAAACAGTATTATTATAGCAAATATTAGATTTTCTAAAAATACTTTTTCCAATGTCAGGATGTTATCTTGCAACACAAAGAGGGACTATACATTTGGGGAAAGACAGAAAGAGAGAGAGAAAGAGAGAGGGAAAGAGAGAGGGAAAGAGAGAGGGAAAGAGAGAGGGAAAGAGAGAGGGAAAGAGAGAGAGAAAGAGAGAGAGAAAGAGAGAGAGAAAGAGAGAAAGAGAGAGAGAAAGAGAGAGAGAAAGAGAGAGAGAAAGAGAGAGGGAGAGAGAAAGAGAGAGAGAAAGAGAGAGAGAAAGAGAGAGACAGAGAAAGAGAGAAAGAGAAAGAGAGAGAAAGAGAGAGAAAGAGAGAAAGAGAGAGAGAAAGAGAGAGAAAGAGAGAGAAAGAGAGAGAAAGAGAGAGAGAGAGAGAGAAAGAGAGAAAGAGAGAAAGAGAGAAAGAGAGAAAGAGAGAAAGA